TGCCAGAAACCTTTCTGCAAACAATTTCAAAGGGAGTATACCTGTTGAATTAGGCCACATAATAAATCTCGATACGTTGTAAGTTCCATGAAACTATATCTAACCTAACAAAATTGCTATATATGCTGATTCTTTTTTTTTTTGTTTTAGAGATCTATCTAGCAATAATTTTTCAGGGCATGTTCCAGGGTCTGTTGGTTATCTTGAGCATCTTCTAACTTTGTAAGACAAATGCTGCTTCTAAACAATTTTATCTACCTTATACTTTGAGTTTCTCTTGTTAATGTAGCAGTGATATTTCCACATTGTATTTAGGAACTTAAGCCATAATAGTCTTCAGGGTCCCTTGCCTGCTGAATTTGGTAATCTTAGAAGCATACAAATTATGTGAGTTTTGTTATACTTTGTAAAGGTTAAGATTCACTTGAGTTCCATTATATTATTTGTTGCTATGGTTTTATAAGTTGTTTTTTCCACCAGTGATATCTCATTCAACCATCTGTTGGGTAGTATGCCTCCAGAAATTGGTCAGCTGCAGAATCTTGTGTCTCTGTATGTTAAGCAATGATGTTTCCTAGTTGATTTTTTGAAACTACTCATTCTAAATAACTTACTATTCGTTTCACTGTAATTCTAATAGGATTTTAAACAACAATGACTTGCGTGGGAAGATTCCAGACCAGATTACAAATTGCTTAAGTCTTAACTTCCTGTGTGTATTCCTAGCAGCTAGTCAATGCCTCCTTTCTGATTATTTTCTTCTGATTTGTGTCTGAGTGATTGATCTAAATGCTTTATTTCATTTCTTAGGAATGTCTCATATAATAACTTATCCGGGGTCATTCCTCTAATGAAGAACTTCTCCCGGTTTTCAGCTGACAGGTATTGAGGGAAACTGTAGGATTTTCTTGGTTTCTTAATTCATTTATCAATGACTTGTAACGTGATATGTTGCAGCTTCATTGGAAATCCATTTTTATGCGGAAATTGGTTAGGATCCATATGTGATCCTTACATACCAAAATCCAGAGGTGTGTGACATCCATCTGAGATGACTTGATAGTTACAATTATATGTATGATGATTATATTTATATATAGGATTAGTTTGTGAGGAGTAAAATGTATCTGACTACAATGTTAATAATGGACCTTATTGTGTACTTCTTTGTTCAGTGGTTTTCTCCAGGGCTGCAGTTGTTTGTCTCATAGTTGGTACCATCATATTATTGGCGATGGTAACTGTTGCTCTCTACAGATCAAGCCAATCCATGGAATTGATTAAAGGATCCAGGAGAACTGAACAAGGTCTGTTCAACATGATACTGTTTAGTATAGTTATGTGAGCAAAATTCTCATTTGTTTTTCCCTTTTTCTTCCTTCTCTTCAGGGCCACCCAAACTTGTAATTCTTCATATGGGCTTGGCCATCCACACCTTTGATGATATCATGAGAGTTACTGAGAATCTCAGTGAGAAGTATATTGTAGGATATGGTGCCTCAGGTACCGTCTACAAGTGTGTTTTGAAGAATTCCCGACCAATTGCAATTAAACGACTATACAACCAGCATCAACACAACTCAAGGGAGTTTGAGACAGAACTTGAAACTATTGGCAGCATCAGACACAGGAATCTTGTCACTTTGCATGGTTATGCTCTAACTCCTAATGGAAATCTTCTCTTCTATGACTATATGGAGAATGGCTCTCTGTGGGATCTTCTACATGGTATATTTACTTACAATTGAACTTTATTTTTAAGGTAAATCAGTATGAAGGTGGCTTGAAATTGTTCTTATGACTAAACTTTCTTTTCTAACAGGTCCCTTGAAAAAGGTAAAACTTGATTGGGAAGCACGCTTGAGGATTGCTGTGGGAGCTTCTGAAGGACTTGCTTACCTCCATCATGACTGCAATCCTAGAATTATTCACAGGGACATTAAGTCCTCAAATATCCTGATAGATGAGAACTTTGAAGCTCGTCTCTCTGATTTTGGCATTGCCAAATGTTTGTCAACTACAAGAACACATGCATCAACATCTGTGGTTGGGACAATAGGCTATATTGACCCTGAGTATGCCAGGAGTTCTAGGTTGAATGAAAAATCTGACGTGTATAGCTTTGGTATTGTTCTACTTGAGCTACTCACAGGGAAGAAAGCAGTGGACAATGATTCCAACTTGCATCACTTGGTAAGTGCTTTCTGCATTTTTTTTCTAATGATTCTGTCTTACCAAACACATTTGTGTATGCAAAAGAACTCATACATGATTTGAGATGTGAAACTTTTTCTGTTGAAGCTGGGAATAATGTGTGGAACATGACTTGCAGATATTATCTAAGGCAGATAACAACATTATAATGGAGACTGTGGATCCTGAGGTGTCTATTACCTGCATGGATCTGACCCATGTTAAGAAGACCTTTCAGCTTGCTCTTCTTTGCACAAAATGAAACCCTTCTGATAGGCCAACTATGCATGAGGTTGCCAGGGTTTTGGCATCACTACTTCCAGCACCTCCCAGCAACATCTTTGCTCCTCCTTCAAAGACCATTGATTATGCACAATTTGTAATTCAAAAGGGAAACAACATCCATCCCCCACAGATGGAAAGGTTACAATCTCAGAAGTGCTCTAATGATCAATGGTTTGTTCGCTTTGAGAATGTTGTATCAAATAACAGCCTATAGGAAAAAAGCCAAAGGTTGGAGTGAAGAGGGTGGTGAAAGAACTCCAATCATTTTGGAAACTATTTGATAATTTCCCGTGAAACCATTGGATTGTTATAGTTTTTGAGACTACCAAGTCTTCAACATTTAACAGTAAAGAGAATTTCCACTGTATTTTGTAGAAGTATTAGTCTTTAGGGGTAGTAGTCACTGAATGGTTCCTTTCCTTCGGACAGTTTATGTGAATTGAATTCCAACAAGAGTAAGCATGCCAAGTACTAGTATAAATATATTCTTATGTATGTGCAAGAAAAGGGTAAAATGTAGATCTTTTTGTGAATGTTTCGATATTAAACTTTTCTTGTCTTAGATTCGGGTATAATTGACTTTTTCAAAAATTTGAAACCAGAAATGTTTATTAAAAATTATAAGATAAATCTATAAATTAATTTATCACAAAGAAAATTATAGGAAAAGGTAGTTTTTAAAGTTGTTCAAGGACTTACTTATATTATCATGCACGTCAACTGTTACTTTATTTACCAGTAGGGCAACTTTGAATCCTTCAAGTAGAGGTACATTTTATATTGGTATCTATTAACTTTTAACTGTTAATGGATTAAAATTCATATTTTCCTGATAACATATATTTATATGCATATTTGTAGCTTTATTATATAACTTTTGTCTTAATTGTAGTCTTTAATTCATTTTTTCTACTACTAATAAATTGAGTTTATTAGTAATAATTGTTTTAATTTTGTATTTTTTAGTCATCTTATATTTACTTACTATATTTAGTCATAAAAATTTTTGTAAACATTATTTTTATTTTATTTCAATTACATTATATTCTACACTTTTAGGGTGTCAAAATAGATAGATTTATGATTTGTTGGATTTAGACTTACTGTATTTTTTATTATTTTTAGAAATTGACACGTTTATTTAAAATTTGTTGGGAGAATCCTACGGATTTAATTTTACTTGATTTTGTTTGTTTTAGCTTACACATTTTTAATTGGCTTTATTGGAGTTCGTATTAGGTCCATAATTGCATTTGAGTTTGCAAAATTAGGGTTTAAGTTCAAAGCCTATGTAAAACCTAATTTTGGTCAAAACTACATATAAAAATCAATTGCACAATTTTCAATCTCTTAGTTTTCTTCCTTTTCTATTTATTTTCATCTTTTTATATTCTTTTTTATTGTGTTTTAATTATTTTGTAATAGATAGCTAAATCTCATGGAATTATCATTAAACAACAAAAATTGACTTTTGCACTAATTATTTCTAGATTGAGTTTATTCTTCTTTTCGTTAATTTCAATTTTGCTTTTTTTTGTTCGTTTCTTAAATTAGAATTCAAATTATAAATTAATTGAATCTTAATTTAAATAATCTAATATGAATTAGATTAACTAATATTAAAATTTAATTCGTATGGATAAATTTAATTAATTAATTAAATCAGTTAATTGTTCAAATTTGAATGTAATATAAAAGAACTATGTTATTTATTGTTTGGTTGTATGAATTTGATCTCTTCTAATTTTCTGGAATTTCACTTTTCATATATAATTTTATATTTTAATTTATATTATAATTTTGAATCCTAAATCTTCAATTTTATTAATATAAAAAAAAGAAGGAATAAAAACTCTATATATTAAATACAATTCAATTGTATTATCTGATGATTGACTTAAACTATGCTTTATACTAGAACGTATAATAAAACTTAACAATTTTCCATAAGAGAGTGGAAGTCAATAACCAAACAAGGTGGGTGTTTTCATATTATTCCAAGTAGAGTTGTCAAAACGGGTCATTCGATCCGACCCCGACCCAGCCCATCAATGATTGGTCACTTAGTGAGTCAATCTAATCCGATTCATTTATTAGCGAGCCAGAAAAATTCGAACCTGGTCCGATCTACCACGGGTTGGTAGGTAAACGGGTTGGCTCACTAGCTCACTTAACTACAATTTTTTAAATAAAAAAAAATTACAAACTTTCTATAATTCAAATCTAAACAAATTTCACTCCTAACACGAGTGTTTAATTAATTTTGAAAATAAAGAACTTAAATAATTTTTTCAAGCAAAAGCAAAATAATAAATATTTTTTAATAAAAATAAAATTAAATTTTAATAAATAAAATTTATTTAAAATTATAAGAAGCTCATTGAATAAAATGTAAAGTTCACAATATTTTAATCCGCAATTTAATTTCAACCAAGAGGATAAAACGTGTTTAAAGAGATGTTATCAGTAAGGAGAATACGAAAGCTTGAAAATACAAAACTAAATAATTTCACTTCAACTAAACAGAAACAGAAGCAAACAATTCTTAATACACAACAATAACATCAACAACTAAAGCAAATTTAGGTAACTAACATTATTATATGTGTTTTGCATTGCCCTCTCTGATGTTCTCAAGTGGAACTCCTGAAAAACAAAACTCAAAAAACATAATTAGTACATTCCAGTAGAGTTTGCTGCACAACACAACACATGAAAAGATACAAATAATTACTTGACATTGTGTTGGTCGTGATGTTTTCGTCTTAGACAATGTTTGTGCAGGACCCTCCAAAATCTGCAATATCCAAAAAGTTCATTATTACATTATCAAAAGTATGATTGAGTGCTAATTAGTTTCTTCCCAAAGTACAAACTTAAAAAAAAAAAACTTACTTTTTTATTCAAGGGTCTTGCTTTAGACTCCTGAGAACTTGATAGTGTAGGTCCAGCTGATTCACCACTGCTTTTAGACCTATCAAAATGCACAAACAACAATTCATCATGCTGGATAGGGTTTCTTACTAAAATGTAACAAAACCATGATGTTCAATGTAACAAAACCATGATGTTCAATGTAACAAAACCATGATGTTCAATATAACTTGAGAAGTAAATGATATACGTGTGTCTATGAGCCCTAAGGGCTGTCATCAAATTTGGTTCTTTAGCAACGGTGACATTTGATTTTGATGCTGAATTCGAAGCAGGCTGATCAACCTGCATCATAATCTAAACAGGGTTATATTGTTCATGTAATAATTTTCAAATTTTCCAATATTTGAGAGGTCTATTCAATGTAATCTCTTAATTTTTTTTTTTCTTAATCTGGTTTCCATTTTATTTAAAGGAGTTAATATGTTTGCAGTGTGTAGAAACAGAGAGAGTGAATTTGATGGATCATAGTCCAAAAAAAGATGGTTCGTTACCTCCTTAGTCTTATGTGTAAAGCGAATTTGATGCTTCAAACGGGCAGCCTGTCATGAATAGCAAAAGGTCAAACAACTGAAGCAATATTAAATGTAAACATCATTTTAATAAAATGCAAAGCATATATTTGTTAAACATCAGTTTTTCATGGAAACTAATCCAGATTAAAAACATTGTATAACCCTAATGTTTAATTTGCAGAAAGAATGCAATCTAATATTTGAACATAGACTCCTTTGCAAAAGATAAAAGAAGACAAATGCTCAGTTTTCATTTAGACTGCAACGTTGACATTAAGGTATTGTGAGAAATGAGAGAGAAAGAGATCCATTATTTGGAAGTACTACAATATTGTATTAAGCTAAAGTTAAGACTCAAAAACCTGAGAAAGAAAGTTTATTGTATAAACTATATCATACCTTGCGCAAGTAACCAGCTTCTAGCTTTTGCCTTTTGGTTAATGCGCAATCTGTGGAAGAAGAATTCTGTCTCTGAAACCTGCTGAGAAAGATGACAAAAGAGATGAACAACAAGGGAAAGTAATAAGAAATGGATAAAACAATTTTTCAAATGGGAAAAGACATAATAAAAAAATGTCTTGTTATATTATTTACATTGACATGATAAAATGCCAGAGGATGACATCAATATAGCTTGTAAGATCTTACACGACGACAGAGTGAACAATCAATCATCAAGTTTTTATGAGAAAAATGATCAGAGAATCCATAACAATGTGAATGTGTTTAGAGTATCATTCGTTCATAAATTATCATATGTAAAAATTCTTTATATTTACTTTATGCATACAAGAAGAAGTTTAACTAAAGAATTTGTAATTGAACACAAAATATGACATTGTTCATCATCAGCATGAAAATAAAAAAGGTGAGAAATAACTGACACCTGATGGACTCAGGGCTCCGAACTTCTAAAACGTTCTTCTGCTTGGCCAAATGACTTGCTGTTGGTTTCATAAAAGAGAAATCTTTTCCTTTAGATGAACTTGACTTGCTGAGAGGCTTTGTCTTACCACTTGACGTGTCTTGTTAAAAAAAATAAACATGCAATCAGCTTGCAGAACTAAACAATTTCTTCCCAAATTTCATACATGCAGCTAAATTGGCAAACTGAATAATCTCATTGTACCACGAAAAGGGACTGTTTTAACAAAAAAGAAAGAAAACATCAACAAGAAGGTCTGATATCTGAAAAGATGTTAAAGACTGTAAAACAAATTCATATATTCGAAATGCAAAATCTTAAGATAACCCATTTTGAGCAACATTGAATCCCTGAATCACAATGCACACAACCAGTAAGCATCTGAACATTGTGCCATCAATTTAACAGCAATGCAGAACATATGAAAGCATTACCTGTGCCATTATCTTCATCATCTGAAATTTGTTCTTTCTCCGTGATACTATCAGAGTTTCCCGACCTCGCCTTCAAGAGAAACGCTACAGACAACACATCCAATGCAAAGAGAAAAACAATCAAAACCCATTTTTCCATTTTGAGAAACATTCAATCTCAATGCAACGATCAATCGCATATCGCCATGCATAGTAAGTTACAGCTTGAAGATTAAGACGAGAATTAAACTCATCCAATGGTTTGTAACTTCGGACAGAAGAAAAAACAAACTCAACCCATTTCGCCAAACACGACAAAACATAACAGCGTTGTTTGATTTTCATTAAAGTCTTACGTGAAGGTGGGTAACTCGTGGCGTATTCAAACCACTGCTCTGCTTCGGAAGCGTCCCAAGCCGTCTCTTGACGCGTGAAAGCGAAGAACTGAGGCGCGTCGAACTCGTATTCAATGTCAATCTCCTGTCCCTCGCAAAGAGGCGCGTATTCAACCTCGATCTTCCCGAAGTCTTCATCCATGACACCTTTCTCTCTCTCTTTCTCTCTCTCTCTCTCTCTCTCTCTCTCTCTCTCTCTGTGTTTTCTCTCCCCAGAGCCTAATGAGCTGTGATCAATTCACGCGCACTAAGTTCATACCCAATTCAGATTCTGAAGCAAGTTTTGAAATTTCGACGATTCCTCAACGTGGGTCTCCCTGGTCTGACTCGGAACACGCGATGGCCAACGGAAGCTACGAAAAATGATTTCCAAATGAAGGAGAAAATGGTATTGAAAAATGATATTTTTGGCCTGTAATCCCGTCACCTCCTCTCTCGTCTCTGGGAAGGTCGATTTTCCCGGAAACGAGAGAGAAAGTTAGGAATTGAAGGCAAATAAATTAGAGTTTGGAAGTTTTGTTTGGTTGTTAGTGTTGTTGCATTGATTGAGTGCGGGAGCCCAATAATTGATGGGGGAATGAGGAAGAAGAAAATGGCGAAGATTTGGTTGGTGAGAGATGGAAATGGCGGAAAGAAAGAGAAGAGAAGAAGAAAGAAAAATAGTTGAAGAAACGGTGTTGGGTTGTTAGTTTTGGTTTTATATATATGGCGCCTAAGGTTGAACCATGATTACCAATTTTGAATTTTACACATCATCTCACGACATTGCATGAACAAGATGATGTCAAATATGCTATATTTTTATTCAAAAAAATTTGAAAGTACATAAATTATTTTTTTTCTTATATATACTTTAATTTTGTACTTGTAGTTTTATGCTAAAAATATATAATATTTCAGTTTATAAAATATGTATAATTAATGTGAAAAATATCAGGTTCGATCTTTTATTTATTGTTTGATTCTTGGAAATTGATTCCAGTTAATTAGTTTTAATTCATGTTATTCGTATGAGAACAGTTTAATGGCTTAAATTTTAATTGAGTTTCTGCATGATATTTTAAGGTGGTCGTCCATATATTGAAAATAATAAGTTATATAATGAAAGTATAAAACGGTNGAAGATTAAGACGAGAATTAAACTCATCCAATGGTTTGTAACTTCGGACAGAAGAAAAAACAAACTCAACCCATTTCGCCAAACACGACAAAACATAACAGCGTTGTTTGATTTTCATTAAAGTCTTACGTGAAGGTGGGTAACTCGTGGCGTATTCAAACCACTGCTCTGCTTCGGAAGCGTCCCAAGCCGTCTCTTGACGCGTGAAAGCGAAGAACTGAGGCGCGTCGAACTCGTATTCAATGTCAATCTCCTGTCCCTCGCAAAGAGGCGCGTATTCAACCTCGATCTTCCCGAAGTCTTCATCCATGACACCTTTCTCTCTCTCTTTCTCTCTCTCTCTCTCTCTCTCTCTCTGTGTTTTCTCTCCCCAGAGCCTAATGAGCTGTGATCAATTCACGCGCACTAAGTTCATACCCAATTCAGATTCTGAAGCAAGTTTTGAAATTTCGACGATTCCTCAACGTGGGTCTCCCTGGTCTGACTCGGAACACGCGATGGCCAACGGAAGCTACGAAAAATGATTTCCAAATGAAGGAGAAAATGGTATTGAAAAATGATATTTTTGGCCTGTAATCCCGTCACCTCCTCTCTCGTCTCTGGGAAGGTCGATTTTCCCGGAAACGAGAGAGAAAGTTAGGAATTGAAGGCAAATAAATTAGAGTTTGGAAGTTTTGTTTGGTTGTTAGTGTTGTTGCATTGATTGAGTGCGGGAGCCCAATAATTGATGGGGGAATGAGGAAGAAGAAAATGGCGAAGATTTGGTTGGTGAGAGATGGAAATGGCGGAAAGAAAGAGAAGAGAAGAAGAAAGAAAAATAGTTGAAGAAACGGTGTTGGGTTGTTAGTTTTGGTTTTATATATATGGCGCCTAAGGTTGAACCATGATTACCAATTTTGAATTTTACACATCATCTCACGACATTGCATGAACAAGATGATGTCAAATATGCTATATTTTTATTCAAAAAAATTTGAAAGTACATAAATTATTTTTTTTCTTATATATACTTTAATTTTGTACTTGTAGTTTTATGCTAAAAATATATAATATTTCAGTTTATAAAATATGTATAATTAATGTGAAAAATATCAGGTTCGATCTTTTATTTATTGTTTGATTCTTGGAAATTGATTCCAGTTAATTAGTTTTAATTCATGTTATTCGTATGAGAACAGTTTAATGGCTTAAATTTTAATTGAGTTTCTGCATGATATTTTAAGGTGGTCGTCCATATATTGAAAATAATAAGTTATATAATGAAAGTATAAAACGGTTTGATATTATAATCATACTATTGAGTATAAAAAATCATAACTATAAGTTTTTTTTTTGTAATAGGTCATAAATGTAAAATTATTTTATAATTCAATGTATAATTATGAATTTATTTCTTATATTAGTTTTAATTTTTTTAACTTGTAAAATAAATCCTAAGGTACATTTTTCATGAATTTACCTTTTAAAAATGATATTTTATTGCTTAGATTTTTTTGAATGATAGTAAATTAAGGAATGCATGCAAAAAGAAAGAAAATAATAAAATATTACATTAACAATTTCTATATATAGGTGGATCATGCCTATCTAAATATTTATTGATTTTATTGTACATTGTACTATTGTTAGGTCACACGGAACAGATTGTACCTGCATGTTGACTTTTGTTACATTTTACATGGTCAAAATTCAATATCTTTTAACTTTCTATATTTTTTTTTACATATTGATGTAAACTATCTGTTATACTTCATCTCTTACATTAAATTTTCAAACATAGTAATGATAACTTATGTTAAATATTTTTTCTTCCAGCATCACAGTAAAAATGGTCGATTGATTTTTTGAGAAATTATCAATTTAGTATTAAAATACATATAAAATATAGAATGACTCTTGAATATAATAGTATGATAAAAACATTATTTCTGATGATCATAAAAATTATAATTTAATTATAAAATATTATTGGATCTTAGCAATAAGTGTTGTATATTCTACATTACATTAAGATTTGAATGAGATTTTTTTTTAAAGAGAATATCATGATATTTATTTTTTTTTATGGATTTGATGAGGAGAAGACAAAATATGCAAGACCCTAAAGCAAACATAAAAAAAAACTTCAAAGTTGTTTATGTTTAAAAAGAAAATAAAGACAAAAATCTTCATTTGATGCAATTTTTTTGAAAAATAATTCAAATGACTAGATTTGGAAAAATTACAAACATGGATAAGTTACGTTGATGTGACATAACTTTATTAAAAAAAAATCATTTAAAGATTATAGATTTTAGTACATAACGTTGAAGTTGTGTTATTGTAATAAGACTTTAGTTCAATTCATTTTAAACTGGAATTATGTTAATTAAGATGATACAACTTTTATTCAATTTTGATAGAAATATTTTAATTTAAAATATTCTAAACTAAAATTTTGTGACACACAATTTTTTTTACTTCAAATGATATTTTTTACCAATATTCATAATATTTTTCAAACTTATTTGGATAATTTTTTTGAAAAAATTGTACTAGGTGCTTTTGTGGAAAAGAAACATGGGTTAATTTTCAATCTGAAAACCTTGAAAGCTTTCTACATTAAAAGACATATATTATGTTTAGCATGAGACACAAGTTTGGTTTCTCTTTCATGAATTGAAGAAAAGATGTCCCACTCCATGTTTTGGCTCATAGCAAAAGGAGTGTAGCATTTGTTTGAGGCATTTATGAGATCCCCACAACACAACCCTAAGACATGGGATTTTGAAATTTAAATAGACATATGGATAGAAGAAGGAGGAAGGGATATATAGGGTTAGAAAAATACAACATGGTCTTTTCCCTATCGATTCATAATGCAAAATTCTAAACCACTTGTTTGTCTTTACGTGGAAAATATGGCTTTGCCATGCAGCACGGAAAGCCATGTTACCTTCTCACACTGTGGAACTTTCTTCTTAATGTCTCCAAATGGATGCACGTTCCAATTTTGTCCTAAGTGTTTTGTTTTCTATGTACCTTTGTAAAGGACAAATTTGTCATTTTCCCCTCAACTCAAACGCTCCCTCTCTTTCTAATAGGGTTGTCAATTCGTGCCCCTCCATTTATTATGGCTTAATTTATGTGAACAATAAAATGGGTATCCAACCATACAACCCAAACGTGATTCATAAACATGTGTTTATAAAACTCATCTTATATTATATATCATAGTCAAACAACGAAAAAGAAATTCAAAAGTTTAAAATTCAATTTTTAAAATTCAACTTAGCATATATAATGAAAACAAAACTTTCTTTAATGAAACTTTTGGAACGATATTTCGAATCAAAATCCATGAAATACATTGGACAAAACTTTTTATAATGGGATTTTCGGACAAACTTTTCATAATGTATATAATGTCTTCTGAAATGAGTTTTCTGAAACACGAAATGTGTTTTGGAAAGAGTTTTTCGGAACATATTAAATGCATTTGGAAAAGAGTTTTCTAGAATAAGTTTTTTTCTCTTTTTCTCCCTCTGCAACATTTTGTTTCTCTTCTTCCTTTGTAGTGGCAGTGAGACGGAAGCAGTTCGTCAGCAATGTAGTAATGAAGGACGATGGTATCTTGTCCTATTATTGTGAGGGTTCAGTTAGTAATTGTGAGAGTGGAGGAAGCAATGCCCTTATATTAAAATATATTGGACCTGTTTTTTGGATTTGAACCCACCCCAGTCCAGTATATGGTTTTGGGCCGAGAAAAAAATAAGGGGGATTCTTTCTGCACCTCCTCCTTCACTCTCGTTTCACTTCACTGATTTCCTTCATTGCACATTGCACCTCATTTGCTCCATTGAATCGTGAGGTAAGCTTTTCACATGCACCTCCGTTGTCTTTATTGGCCAACCTTTTGCGACCTCCATTTTAAGGTAAAAATTGATTTTTTTTTCGTTGGTTGGTTTTTATTTTCCTCATTGGATGGTTCTTGATCGATAGTTGGAAGTTATTTTTTTGGCTGTCGGATTGTGGTAAATGGGTGTAGGATTTTTGTTCCGATAGAGGGTGTATTTGTTTCGTTGTTTGGGAGAACTGAATTTTAAAATCCAGTTAATGTCATTGGATACTATTACACAGGAGTGATGCTCCTTCCATCACCCCATTTTCTCCCTACACCCTTTTAATTTTTTTTAAAATTTAAAATTTATATTTCAGTTAATCTCAATCCCCTCTCATTTTCACTTTTCCTTTCACTTTTAGTAGCAAGTTCACACCCTCCATTGTCACTTTCTCTCTTTCTCTTAATTTCCACTTCCATTAACACTACATTTTCCATTTCTTTTCAAATTTTACAAGATTCACCGAACACTTAGTGATAAACTGAACTTACTAATTTTTCTTTTATTCACTTTTTATTTTGTACTCAACAAACATATTTATCTTTCATTGTACCATTGTAAGCATAAATGTAATTTTAAGTATAGATTTTCAAGTTTGGTTATTTAAAGACAAGGAAGTGGGGAAGAAATTTTTAGCATATTATATTATGGAATCATGATACTTTAAAACTCATCAGAAGTTATAAATGTTTTAAATTTATATCATGCAAAATTTATTTTTTCTATCAAATTTTGTGGTAACCGAAGTGGAGATTAAGAGAAAGAGAGAAAGTGACACTGGGAGGTGGAGACTTGTTGTTGAGAGTGAAAGGGAAAATAAAACTGAGAAGGGATTGAAATTCGGGTTTTAAAAAATAAAAAGTAAAATTGGTAAAAGTAAAAAGGGTAAATTTAGAATTTTATAAAAATTGGGGAGGTGTAGGGAGAAGATGGGGTGGTGGAGGCAGCATCACTCATTATATAGTAGTGCTGTCAAAATGAATAATTCGGCCCAACCTACTACGGGTTGGTCACTTAATAAGTCAATCTAATCTGGTTCACTTAGATGAAAAAATTTGAACTCGGCTTGACCCATCACAAGTTGATGGGTTAAACGGGTTGACTCACTCACTTAATTACAAGTTTTTTTTAAATCTAACAAAAAAATTCAAAACTTTTTATAATTTAAATCTAAAAAATTTCACTCTGAAATGATGTTAAATTCCTAAGACAATTCAAAATAAAAAAAAAACGTACCATAAAATTAGAGCTGTCAAAACGGGTCACCCGGCCCGGCCCACCACGAGTTGGTCATTTAGTGAGTCAACCCAACCCAGCTCATTTATTAGCGAGCCAGAAAAATTCGAACCCGACTCGACCCACCACGGGTTGGTGGGTAAACGGGTTGGCTCACTAGCTCACTTAATTACAATTTTTTTAAAATAAAAAATTACAAACTTTCTATAATTTAAATCTAAACAAATTTCAATCCCAAATTTCACTCCCAACATGAGTGTTTAATTAATTTTGAAATAAGGAACTTAAATAATTTTTTCAAGCAAAAACAAAATAATAAATATTTTTTTATAAAAATAAAATAAAATTTTAATAAAATAAAATTAGGTAGCTGGGTTGGTGGGCCAACCCGGTCCACCACGGGTTCAACCCGCATGAGCCGGGTTTAAATGAGCTGGGTTGAAATCTGACCCGCATAAAAAATATAATTTTTTCAAATCCAACCCGGCTCAAACCCGTGGTGGGCCGGGTTGACCCGTGGGTTGTGACCGATTTTGACAGCTCTACATACAATCCAAATGTAATCCAAACAAAAGCGCAAAAGTCGAATAAATAAGTTTCTAATATTAAAATTTTTGTGTCACTTATCCATTTATAAGATTAGAGTATTGAATAGATAAATTAATAATATTTTGCTCTATTGAAACATCTTTTTTCTTTATCACGTCTATAATACAATAAAAAAAAAGTGTTAACTAATAATATTGAAACCAAAGTAATAAATAATTAAATTAGGTGGGTTGGTGAGTCAACTTGGCTCGCCACGGGTTCATCCGACCCGGATGAACCGGGTTCTAAGTGGGTCGGGTTGAAAATTGACCCATATAAAAAAGTTACATTTTTTTCAAACCCAACATGACCTGAATTTGTGGTGGGTCAGGTTGGACTGCGGATTCTAACCCATTTTGATAGTACTACTAGATAGTCAAACTTTGTATTCCGACTTGAAAAGAAATTTGGTGTTGTGTATTGTCAAATTGTGTGATTAGAGGTGTGCGTATCAGATTATGGAATCCAATTGGAGTGTGCAAGATTAAGGGATCCGGTTAGGAAATTCAGTGTGTGTACCAAATTAAGGGTGATTAAGCTATGTTTGGCAGATTGTTTTATATTTGTTTATGAAGATGAACACATGATGAAGATGAAGGTGAAGATGGAGGATGACGATGGCTAATATAAAACTCTATCCATCATGTACCCAACATGTCTCCTAACTGATGTGCATTTTCAACTACATATGTGTTAACATCTCCAACATGCTTTCAGCCACCATGTTCGTCACTTAAATTGTGTCTCTATCAACATCGCTAGCAAGCCTGAAATCGTGAAACCCTAAATCCTTTTGAACCACTGATCTCTACACACATATTCACTCCACCACGAATCAATCATGCACAAAAGCTATCATTACACCTATATCTTTGTCAAAATCATGTTTTTTGGTCCTTATTTATTCTCTTTCAAGTGTTGCAATGGAGGTTGAACGCCGACAAGATTTGTGATGGAGGTCAAATCCAGTGATAAGAAATGCTGGAGTTTCCATGGTTGTCGCGAGGTGGCCTTTTGATGTGGGTTCAGTGGTTGCTCATGGTGAGGCGATGAGGCTTGTGAAGACTCGTTTTGTTGCGGTTAGGGTTATAGTGTTGCAATTTCAGATATATGCATAGGTGATGGAATCGTGATTAAGGCTTTTATGTGGTGTTTTGAAGTGCAGGTGCATGGTGGCTCGCAATAGAGATTTATGGTTTGTTGGTTCATTCCCTTTGCGTGCATAGTAGTTTTGGCACAACATGAAGACATGAACTCAAGGTGGTTTCTTCATATGTTGGTGGCATGAGGTGGTTCATGGATTTTGGTGGAGGAAGTGTGATTTAGGTTGTTGGTTCATATAGGTGACAAGAACTATGTATGGCTTCTGGTTCAAGTGTTGCATCGTCGTGATGTAGTGCACGACAGTGGTGATTGATGAATGTTTGAGGTGTTGGAGAAGATGAAGATTCAAACGGGAGGTTGAAGATGATAATGTTACAATATCACATTGGTCAAATTTGTGTGTGATGGATAAATACCACGTGATAACTTGCTATTAGTCAAATTCCAACTTACATCATGTTGGACAGACTTTGTAAGAAAAATCGAACATTTCATTAAAACATTATCAACATAAAGAGTTTATCATTCATAATTTAATATGTCATGAAAAAAAAATACTAAATTTAACATAAATTATCAAAATAAACATTTAAAAAAACAATTTTCCTGTTATACAAAGTCATCGAGAATAAAAAAAATTTAAGCATTATAAAATATATAGTTATAAATAATAATAATAATGATAATAATTTTTATTATTTTAAAAGTAAAACACATGTTCACGCGTGTGTTTTTACTGTTTATTAACAATAACTATTAGGGTTAAATATGTTTTTAGTCCCTAAACTATTGGCCGTTTCTGGTTTTCGTCCCTCTTCCAAAGTAAGGTACAATTTGGTCCTCATTCTTTAGAAAAACGTTCGTTTTAGTCCTCAAAATTTTGTTTTTAGTCCTCGTTTTAGTCCTCAAAACATTCGTTTTTTCGACTAAAACGAACGTTTTTTAAAGATTGAGGACTAAATTGTACCTTACTTTGGAAGAGGGACGAAAACCAAAAACGGTCAATAGTTTAGGGACTAAAAGCATATTTAACCCTAACTATTAAAAAAGTAATTAAATTATTAAAGTAATTTAGTAGATTATTACATATAATATTTGTTAAATAGTCACTCTAATGGTGACAGAACATATTCATATCAACTTAAAAAAACCACTTTCCAAATCATTCACATTTATTTTTAAAATCCATAGTCCATTTATTATTTAAACATTATTATTCTTTTATTTTATTTTTTTAAATATATTGACATGAAGTTTTTTTTATTAGTTACTAAAGAAGAAAAAAATATTTAACATTTTAAATATTTTAAAACCATTACTATTTAATTGTTATTCAGTTTCTTCTTCCTCTTGTTACAGAACAATCCTCTGCTTCTTTCCATCGTGTGCCCTAGCCGCGCCGTTCTACCCTCACCGTTCGGTGACGAAGTGCACTCACCACCCACCGTAACGAGATTTTGAAGCAACGCTCTCATTGGAATCACAAACATGTCCTCTTCTTTGCCCCAAACCGAAGAAGGACAAGCGGCAATTCGAAAACTCACGAATGGACCAACAGAGTGTGAAGAGTGCAAATCGAACCCATGGAAATACACGTGTCCCGGTTGCTCCTTACACACGTGCAGTCTTCCGTGCGTGAAATCACACAAAGACCGAACTGGGTGCAGCGGGAAGAGGAACCAGACTCTGTTTGTTCCTCTTTCGAAGTTCGACGATAATATCCTTTTATCAGGTACCTTGTTTCTCAATCCTCGTACTCTGTCTTAAATATGCTGATAATCTTTTTTTTTCTTCTACTTGATTGCATAAGCACAATAATGTTGTTTTATTCCTTAATGTTCTTCGAGTAAGCAAAGTGACCTGATTTCATGTCATGTTAGTTTGTGTGAGAAAACAATTTTTTTGCTGAATAGAAAATTAATTGAAGTACCCTGTAATTATGTTTGGTAAAAAACACGGCTTTGTATTATTTTACTCGTAGAGGATGAGAGCCCCTTTTCGATTATTGGTGAAATATACAGTTGTTATTCTTGGTTTATTTTCTGCATTATGAATTTTCATTAGTCGGTACACCTGCTATGTCTGTTGGTGGGTTCTTTTAAAATCCTATGGCTAATCTGTTTGTTTACTTTGTCATGTCCTTTGGTTAGATTATAGTTTGCTGGAGGAGGTGAAGAGAGTGGCTGAATCTGCTCAGAGAATGAGATCTAAATTAGGCATTCATTCATATTTCAAGTTACCTTATTCACTTAAAAGCCTAAAGAATGCTGCTGGGAGCAGGAAAACCCAACTGATGTTTCTACCTCACGGAATGTCGAAAAGACAGAAAAACCGGTCTAGATATGATCAAAGGTATTTCTCATCGTTTTATGATAACTAGCTTCAGTTTCATTATTGTTTCCTTGTTTTTATCTTTTGGTGCATACTGGATATGATTTGTAGTATACCTAGTGGATGTGTGGCAGTCTGATTGTTAGGTTTTCTTTTCAAGTTGTGATGATTTATATTCTAACACAATCTCAGAGGGAGGTCTAGCTTATAAGAATGTTTCATTTTTGGATTGTTAAGTTGGTAACTTTTGTATCATACAATGCTTTCAGGAAGAAGTTTATATCTTGGACAATTGAATGGCGTTTTCACTCAACAGATATTGTTTTACATGACCATGGGTGAGTAACATTGATGGTGCCTTTGATTTAGAATACAAATTACTGTAGCTTACCTTCTTATTACATGCTTGGAGTCCATAGAATATTGAAAAGATATTGTGCTCATGTTGTCTAGAGTTGGTGAAAATTCAAGCTTTTGCTCCATTCTAGAGAAGCACCTCAAACCTGGTCCATGGAATAATCAGCTAAGGCCATTTTGTGAAGTCCAGCTGGATTCTCTAAAGCTTTTCATTCGTAAAAACCCAAAGGTGGGTTTTCTTTGCCTATTTCTACTGTTGCAATTCAGTATCGTACTGAGCTTGCAGACTTGTAGGATCACATTGACCGAACGCATCAAGACATGCTTTTATTTTTACTCATTAATTCTATCTGGTTCATGCAAATACAGGGTCCTAAATCACCTTTCAAAGAGATCGATATTAAACTGCCAATCAGAAAGCAATTAGCAGATATAGTCATTTTGGAGTTTCCTGTTGTTTTTGTTCTCTTGCCGTCTCACAGAATCAATTTTGAAGTTATTATGGATGTGAATACAAGAAAGCATAAATCACCACAGAAAGACAGTGAAGAAAATCAAATCCCGCAAGGGTTATCATTTAGGGAGGAGGTAATAGAAGATGACAACAGCTCTGTAGATCCTCAGGTTTTTGATATAATGAAGCAAGTGGAATCAAGTTTACCACAAGAATTGATGACCCAAAATACGAGTTCTGAGATAGCACCAAATGATTCCTCCAACAAGTCTCTGTTTGAAGGAGACACCGGAGGTGATCTTTCAAATTCATTGACAGAAACCCAGAATCCAAAGTTACCTGAAGAAATAGATTTTTACTTCGATCAAGATTTGATGGATTTCTATACTGACATTTTGGATCAAACAAATCCTAGTGATCTTTTTGATTTTGATAGTGATTTTGCCAATAAAACAGAAAATAAAATAGATATAATTGGTGCTAGTGAATTGTTCCCCTTGCCAAATGAATTGGAGGAAGGGGAAATCCCCGAATAATTGGTAACTATAATTCACTTCTGCTGAATAATTGGAGAGAAAGAGAAAACATTCACAGCACCAATAATACATGTTGAGGTTGAGGTACAGTTGTGTGGACATGATTGAAAAAGCTCGTGCATTCAGCATGGCAGAGATTCAAGATTACTAGCCTTTTGTCATAATTGATCACCATAAGGAATGACAGTAATTTTCAGTTTGGATGCAGCAATGGCTTCGTAATCCTTTCTTGAAGATCAAGGTGCTCCCATGCATAACGATTCAGACACACAACAGAAGCCACGGTTGTATTTCTCATCACTTGAGCGTAAATTTTGGTATTGGATTTCACTTTTTTTTGTTTACATACTTTTGTGGAGGAGTTGATTTCAAATGAATAGATATTTTTTCCAGTCTTTGCGTTTGCCTCTTAGTTGTTCCACCCCTCCTTCCCTTTAGGTATAATGCCATTTACATCATGCATACTTTAATACGTTGTCAAAACATGATTTCAAAAACAAGAGGTACACTAACGAAAATCCACTTTATTTACTGGAATAGTTGGTGATCTTGTAAGTGTAGTATTTTATTCTGCATTGATGCTCTGTTGAGCTTATTAAATTAGAGCCACTGGCTTCAGTGTGAGGTTATTGTGACAGTAAACCTGAAGAGAAGACTGGAATGGAAATTACTACATAATTAAATTAAATTATTTTATTAATTGGCTACATATAGGTGATTACTATTGTAGTTGATAAGTTTATTTGGATTAGCTTATCCAAAAAATGGTTTAAAGATGCAATAAAATAATAGCTTTTACTCAAGAAAGATTATAAATTGTAAATGGATGGCAACCTAATTCTGTGTATACAAATATGTATTTTCATCCTTCATTTATTTCAGCCATTTTAGGCATTTCTTGAGTAAAAAAGTAACAATTTTTATAAAACAGACCTTCCAATTTTAATTACATAAATTTCAAGCTCAAAAAATACAATTGCACCAGCCGGGAATCGAACCCGGGTCTGTACCGTGGCAGGGTACTATTCTACCACTAGACCACTGGTGCTTCTTGCGTACTGCAATGCATATATATTATTTGATGCTTAGTCTTTTCTTTTGCGTACTTGTTTTTGTGTACTTGATTTTGAAACAGATTAAGATAAGTGATTCTGGTTATATTAAAGTATATTCAATTTCCTTTTGTCATCTTATTTAAGTTTAGTAGTTATAATTATGATTTATATTTATACTGCCGTTGACACAATGTAAATTTTTATTAGAATTAAAAAATGCCATTATGATTTCATTTAAATATTTCATTACGAGTTAATTTTTCACATATTAACTTCTAAAAATTAGAAATTTCACGAATTTCACCTAATTAAGTCAGACAGTTGCATTTTCAATAATAAAAATAAAAACATGTTTTACATTATGACTCCATAAAGGTTATTTATTCAGTTAAAAATATTTGAAAACTTTGTTTGGGTAATTATTTTATCATTGTAAAAATTCATCACAATCTATTTTATAAACAAAAAAAAAAACTGAAACTTTTATCAATGTCTTTATTCTATTCATCATGTTCTGTCTATACAATATGAGAAAATAAGTTACGAAAAATACATTTGATTAAAGACAATTTTGCAAATAATGAGAAAAACCTTTTGAAACTCTAAATTCATATTCGCGTGTTATTTGCATTGCACGGTCAACATGACCCATGAAGCTGGCTAACCTCTTACATTTACTTTTTGAGGTAATTATTTGGTACTGCTCTTGGCTTTTCATCAATGCACAAATGTGTTTGTCATCTTTTATTTGATTGTGTTGTTGAGTAACATCATTCTAATATATGTTTGCCCTTTTCTTTGCTTATGTAGGGTGAGAAACTGAATATTTCAACCTTCGTACGATTTATTTTATATTTAAAATAACATTATCAATAATTATAAATTTTAATTATTTATTGGAAGATAAAATTATTATTACTTATCTCAATCAAATAATATGATTTTTTAATTATTATTTAAGTGATTAATGTGGGATAGGATATCAATATTTTGTATTGTGTATTGATAAACATATTTGTATTGAAAGGACAAGATACTTCGCCCAATATATAGATGTTAGGCAACATGTCATCTAGTGTCCATTATTACAATGTTACCTTAAAAGACATAACCTACATTAGATTAAAGAAGATTAAGAATAATTAATCATGTATAAATCTAAAAGCAAGAGAAATCTATATATTCTAGACTTATAATACATATACAAGGACCTGAAAAACGGGCCAAGAGCAGTTGGACCTTATGTTGAGGCAGCCAGACCCGTAAAACTAAGGACATCAAGATCTTAGAAGGGACCTTTCAAAATCTGAGTTCATTAGCCAACTTTCTCTTCTCTCTCTATAACTCTTATTTTCCCTAGCCTTGCTCTGCCTTCTCTCTACCATTCCCTCACATTCAGCCGTTGCATTGTTGATTAGGTGGTGCTCAAGTGACCGCGGCGCAGTGAGCTTCGCAACCATCCGAATAGATTTTCATTCTTCAGCGGGTAAGTAACTCTTCACTGTTCTCCGCTGTTTGGAACTTAGGGCAAGTTGCATGTGCCTGGTGTACCCTTCTTTACGTTTTTCCTCTATTCGTTCTAGCTCTAAGAGCTGTTTCTATCGCCACTTGGGTGATTTGTAGAGTGGGGTTGCGCCCTTACTGTGTGAGGTGCTGTAGAGAACGGTACTGTAAGCTGTGCTGTGGAGTTTTCCAGGTAAGGGAAGCTAGATATTGTTTTCAATTTGCTTGCAGTATTTGTATGTATGTTAAATTCCTTAATGGGTGTGCTGTTTGGTTTGCTTGTTTCAGCTCTAAAGTGAGTGAAATTATGGTGTTTTAGGTCACTTTGAGAGGAAGTGAGGTAGCGATTTTGGGCATTGGAGGTCTAAAGTGCAACTGGGCTGTTGGGGCAGCCTTAGCAAGTGAATTGTGACTTGTTTAAGTCACTAAATTGATCAAAACAGGTGCAAAGCAGTAGGATTTTGTTTTGGATCCCTAAGTTGGGAAAATTGGTGTTTTAGAGTTGAAATTGAGTCTTAATCACTTTAGAATGGTAGTAGGAATGTTCAGAATCATTTAGATGAGTTTAATTAAGTATAAAATAAGAATTAAGGGTGTTAGAGTTAGTAAAAATGGTTAGGAATGGTTATGTTAGGTGATGTTCATAATTCTGCAGAAATTCTGCAGAATTATGCAGTTTCACCGAAAGTGAACTGATAACTGTTCGGCCATGCGCTGTTGAGCGTTCGGTCTTAGCGTTCGGTCGTAGTAGCGTTCGGTCTTAGTGCTCAGTCTTAAGTATAGTTCGATCTTAGTGCTCGGTCTCAAATAACGTTCGGTCTCTTAAGGAGCGTTCAGTCTCTTAAGTAGCGTTCGGTCTTGGTAGCGTTCGGTCTTAGTGGATGGTCTCTCAGGTAGCGTTCAGTCTCTTAAGGAGAGTTCGGTCTCTTAAGGAGCGTTCGGTCTCTTAAGTAGCGTTTAGTCTTAGTGGGTGGTCTTGGTAGCGTTCTGTCTTAGTGGATGGTCTCTCAGGTAGCATTCAGTCTCTTAAGTAGCGTTCAGTCTCTCAGGTAGCGTTCAGTCTCTTAAGTAGCGTTCGTTCTCAGGTAGCGTTCAGTCTCTTAAGTAGCGTTCGGTCTCTCAGGTAGCGTTCAGTCTCTTAAGTAGCGTTCGGTCTCAGGTAGCGTTTGGTCTCTCAGGTAGCGTTCAGTCTCTTAAGGAGAGTTCGGTCTCTTAAGTAGCGTTCGGTCTCAGGTAGCGTTCGGTCTCAGGTAGCGTTCGGTCTCAGGTAGCGTTTGGTCTCTTAGGTAGCGTTCAGTCTCTTAAGGAGAGTTCGGTCTCTTAAGTAGTGTTCGGTCTCAGGTAGCGTTCGGTCTCTTAGGTAGCGTTCGGTCTCTCTTAGTGAGCGGTCCTGAATAATGTTCGGTCACTTCTTCAGTCTTACCATTTATGGATCGTTCGGTCTTGTCTTTGGGAAGAGAGATATCGTTTGGTCTCCACCATTCACAGGGTATTCGGCCTTGCTCATTATGTGTTGATGTTTTCTGTTCGGCCTATATTCCTATTTATTCCAGTATGCTATTTTACTTAATTGTTCCAATTGCTTTAAGCACTTATGTGTGCATTATCATGTTGGTGTTAAAGTGGAAAGTATTAGTATTGAACGTAATTCCATGATCCTCAAGGGGGGATACATGGTGATGCCCTTTCAGTGTGTTTAGAATGATTTGCATGGTAGCTCAGTCTTGGGGGTTTTCCTACGCTCCAATGGCCTTTCATTCTTAAGTAGAGAGGATTGATCCATGTGGTGAGGAGTAGCAGGAGGTCCTAGTCTTGGGTGCTTCCAGTATGGCCCAAGGTGAGTGATAACGGACTAACCTCGTGAGTGTGGTAGGGTGAAACCCATTGGCAATGTCTTTGCAAAGTAGTAGAAGCCACCACGAGTGCATAATTCTCCATATCTCGACAATCATTCTAAGTCCGGACGAGTCAAGTTTAAGTGCCACAAGTCATGTTTGTATAGTATAGTATATCCGTCTTTACTTGCATGTTGCCTATGACTACTATAACATGATTTTTATATCTAGCTCACCCTTGTTGTGTGTTTGTGTTTGCTTAGGTATGCATTCTTTTGCAATGATCATCCACTTGGATGTGAGCAAAGATGGATGAGGTGCCTCTAGAGCAAGCTTTGGAGGAAGATGATGTTGCTCCTTAGTCTCCTTAGGATTCTATCAGTTATTCCTTATCTTTTGAAATACTCTAGTATGCTTAAGTTTTAAATTCTGACTCCTTATCGGATGACTGTACGCTTAACAAACTTTATTTATAGTCTACTCTAACTGTTTTCTTTTATTTAAATGTGGACTTACTATGTTATATGCTTCTATATAATCTGGGATGTTACATACAAAAAATATAAAATTTATTATAACATTTATTACACTAACTCATCACTATTTGAGTGTCAAAATGTCTTTATAAACTTTTCTATTAAGAATTCACATCTATTGAAAAAACATATTCAAACAAGAAATACAAAAGACATATCAACTTAAGACCTAAGATAGTATGAATAAACACATAATTTGAAAGATAAAAATTATGATTAGAAATTTTTTAAGCAAGAACAGTTGGAATATTCTTTTTCTTACATTAGAAATATTCAATTTTGTTATTAATAGACTAAAAAAAAGGAGAAGTTAAAAGAAATAAATTATTTCTGAAAATATAATTTATTCTCATAGTGTCAATTGGTAATGCTATTATATTTTTATTAAATAATCCTAATCTATATTTTAATCGAGGTTAATAAGAAGACAAAAAAAATATTTATTAATATTAGAAGAAAAGAAAA